ATATATATATATATATATATATATATATATATATATAAGAGCGGTAATATATAGACTCATTACATAATAATTATTACACAGTCCATTCGCATTACGTTTTTGACAAAGTACTCGGGCATAATTGTAGGTTGTCACCGAGACAGTGTATGGTTGATGGCTAGTAACGACTAGCATAGACAGTGTGTCTGACCAGTAGTCCGCTCTAACATACCGCTGCTTATTGTCCGCACCGCGCGACGCCATGCGCTCGAGCGGTCGCAAAGAGTAGAACAAGCTTTGACCCATTCTTCGCGATTAGCTTATATTATTCGCTGGGCGTGACTTTCGTGAGCTCGAGGAAGTCCCCTGCTGCTTACTCGCGCGACCTCGGCGAAGTTAGCCGGTTCTTGGCGCGCGCCTGCGATCTGATTTCGCTACAGGTGTCTGCAAGCAGTCCATATATAGCTCGCGACGGCCGGCTCCCGGCTACTTACCGCAAATGTGATTATAGAGATAAATCCGTGACCCGTGCGATTACGTCACGATGACGCCACCCGGCCCGGCGATCGAGCGATTACTGTAAGTACTCGTAAGTAGTACCTCTGTGCTCGGACCGTAACCGCGCCTGTCCACACACGCGAGTGGTCGCTATAAATAGCAAACTACCAGGTAGAGGCGTCCTGCAAATATCCGACTGAATGACCGGATAATAGCGGTCAGAACTCTCTGTGTCTGTCGGTAGTAGTAGTTGTATGGATACCTTATAGTAATACATATGTGCACAAATCAATCCGCTCAGCATATATAGATGGCAGCACATATTCCATTAATTATAACTATACAGGTTGCAGGCGCTGTTTCATGCGCTTAGGTATGATGGCCGGGCTCAGATGGCTATATCGTATCCCCAGCTATCGTATCCCGGGCTATCAGAGACAAACCCCCAGAGTTAGAGATAATCGCGCGTTCCCATCCTTTTGTGAAGACTAGAATGGCCATTTGGGCCAACATATTAAAGCGCTAATGAAACAGCCCTAACAAGTTAAGAGCGCCCAGCACACATCGCGTGGATTATTACACCTATAATATCTCTGACGTCAAGGTGTCTTAAATGTGGCTAGATGAAACATTCGATCGGGCACTGTTCTGTGCAGAATACCAAATAACATAATTATTGCATTTTTCTATTGTGAGATAAAACATATTACTATTTAACCACCTAATTTCCGGCAATCGACTGTCCCTGTCACCAATCGATCGGCACCTCTGATAGTCCAGACAGTTTAGCGATGGTAAAAAATTCACTTTAAATATATTTCAAATTTACCGTACACTCTAATTCGAATGTACCTTACCCAGTCGTCGCACCATGTCGTGTTATACAGGTACGGCTATACTGTTTTCTCGTATGCGGAGCCTGCATAGCGAGGTGCACATAGCTAATAAGTGTGAGGTGTCTACACTCTACACAGTGGAACCACCTGTAGTGGTCCGAAAACCCCGCTGGTCCGCGGCATGGCTCTGGTCCTATTTAAGTGTCCTGGAAAAAAAACTGGGGGTCATCCTGCATTATAGTATAGATATAGTATAGCGATATAGTACATAATAGAGATATATTCATGGTATTGTTATGTAGACTTATACGAATAAAGGTATTTTTTAATATGGTTTTGGAAAACACATTGACAATGCGTTACGTGGACTTTCGGCATGTAGTTCGGTATGTAGAGTTATACCCCATTGTAGCGAGCAAACACATGAGCTTGCATGCTACTGCGTAATGGCGCGACGTAACCGTGCACCAGCTTACCCTAACGGGTGAAGGCGATCACAATACACAAGCCCCACCCACAACAGCCGGTCTGGTCCACGCGCTCGACCCACACCGTTACTATTAGTCACATATGGTTTCTTTACAATACCGTTCTTAACTCGCCTCCGGCATTTTCTCACTGAAAATTCGAACCAGTAGACGCAAGGAATTTCTGTAAATTTCTTCTTATACCGAATATTGTGTTTTTCATTATATTTGTTTATATACTAATTGAAATAATTGAAGGGGAGAGGCAGGGCGAGTTCTATATTTCTAACGGCTTTCCTTAACAATGCTGATTCATAA